GTTTTGTCTCTCCTCCAAGAGACTTCTTCAGTCTGATGAGTTTCAGGTGAACTCAGCCTTAAGCACTGCCTCCACATGGTGGACAAACAGGTTAGTCACATGCAAAAGAGGGTCATCGCCTGAAAATGGGCTCAATTAGCTCTATTGTTCATAGAGGGTCATGGTGCCCTATCACCTGACTTATTGGTTTGGATGCTGTGGTTCTTAGGTGTCGTGTCATATGTATGTAGTGAATGCAGGCGGGGCTCAATGTCCCCTTGTTTTCAAATCCTATTGTTAGGCGATGGCCCTCTTTTGCATGTGACTAGCCTGTTTGTCCATGTGGAGGCAGTGCTTATAAGCCTGAGTTCCCCTGAAACTCATCAGACTGAAGAAGTCTTTTGGAAGAGAGACGAAACATTTCACTAAAGAAGAACCCATCCAGAGGATCTACTTGTTTTTTTCTTTTTGAAGTCTGAAAGTGATGTTATGGTCTAAAACCAGATGTTTCAGTTTYGTTGTCTAACCTCTGTACCTAGTTGTTGTTAACAGAAGCAACTTAAAGCACCTGTGACACCTGTGTCTGTGTGGCCCCTTGGTTTGATGCTCATTTGGTTTAATTTAATTCAGTGCAGGGTCAGCCCAAGGCCATAGGCTTTAGCCAATGAGGGAGGACATACATAACGTTACTCTGTGGGTGTGGTTTGGCATAGGTACGATGATGAAGCGAGATGGATTGTTTAATTTCTCACCTGTTTTTCTTAATGTCTTTGGAGGAAAAACTGGGAAGGAAGAGGTTGGTGGCGGATAGAGTTTGTCCGTGACCTGGTTTTAGCGACAGGCTAACGGCAAGTGTTGCTAACAAATCTCCTTTCTGTTTACTTATGTTTGAAGGACACAGGAGGTTTTATTTAATACCCTTAAATAATTTTGGTTAACCCACCCTACCACCAGCCACCACAGAAAATATATTTGCATGTGAAGTAACAGGAAGTGATGTTAAAGGGGAACGACAGCACGTAAACAAAGCTATGCCGTACAGCGGCTAACAACAGACTGTAAAGAAGAATCTGATGCTTTTTTAGATTATTTTGAGTTTCTATCAGAGAGATGAAGAGTCAGAGTTTAAATAATATTGTTTCAATAAACAAAGATCAGAGTTTTCTTAGTTAAAGAGTTCCGCTTTGATGTCACTTCCTATTTCACTTTGGCTGAGCCAAGTTCAAAAGAAAATATGTCAATTATGCAACAAAAGGAGTAAAATCAAGTTCATTATCTCAAGTTTCTAAATTTTTTTTCATTGAATTTTTGTATTTGAAGTATATTGCACATTACAGACACTTTAGGCCAACACGCACACAGCTATAACTTTGTTAATTTTACAGATGCTAAGCTAAATATTGGTGCAATAATAGCTGAAAGTTATCCACAATAACCGCTACAAGGATTGCTAGGCCATTAATTAGTTCTGTTTTGAAAATCATTTAAAAAATTTAATCAAAGGTTTTGTGCTGTTGTTGTGAAACGCTGTGATTTTTTCTTCTTTTTTTCAATTAAGAGTAGCCCTCTAGTTCCAGTTCATGCAGTTTATCCACTGCAGCTTTTTCAATTTAAACAACATAATCATCCTGATGTTAGAAGCAGAATGACACAGTCCTCGTCTCTGAGCTCATTTTCTTTGAATGCTCAAAGCTGCAGATTGACCTTTTGATAAAAAACTAGCTGCAAGCGGATCCTCTGAACCTCATTAGAATCTATAAATAAAACATAAATATACAAAAACGTGTCATGCCACCATCAGTCAGGAGGCGAGGAGCCAAATTGAGCCACCAATGTGTTCTTTTCAATGTCCTGAAAATTGGATGCAGTTTGTTGGAATTTGTWATAAAGCTTTCCTGAATAATTTAAACACTTTGGCATAGATAATTTGGCTTTTTTTCAGGGTTTTTGTTTTTCCTACTTTGAAAACTTGATATCAAAGCTCTGATTGCTGCCTATTGTGGAGCCAAAATATGCTACAAACACTCACATTCAAATCTAAGCTCTCTCTCGCTCTCTCTCTCTCTCTCTCTCGCTCTCTTGTAAACATTAAAAAATATATGTCACAGTAATTTACTTTAAATTCTTCTTCGGACCAGAACTACAGTTCCAGGTGAGTGTAGGTATAAATATGTAAAATATCCATCTTCAGGTGAAGTTTTGACAAACCTGGTGCTGGGTTTCATGAACAATTTGCATCTGTTTAAATAGAAATAAGAGACGAGGATGAAAAGACAGAGACGTGTTTGTGTTTTTGGGTTGGTGCCATGCTCAGATATTGATTTTATTTTGACAGAAGAAAATAACCACAGCAGGTCACCTTATCCCCATCTCTGCTGGAACAAATAGATGAGGYTATTTTMGAAAGTCTCCTGTGGAACCAAATCMTGTCAGAAATRAAAACAACTTTTCACTAYATTCAGTCTTTTTAAAAGCGTGTTTAATTTRATATACATCTCACAGATTTTCTGTTTTTCTTAAATTGATTTAAATTTTTGGATTTTATTGCGCATTTGGTAACAATTCAAGACAAAGTGTTACTGTGTTTAACATTTTTAAGATCTTTCTTTACTAATTCAACACTTCACTTTTTTCCTCATAATTACATTTTTAATTTATCTGCAGGATTCTTATTTATCACCTGCAGCTAAAAGCAAAGGGGCGTTAAAGTTTTCGCCTGTGTCTGTGTGGTTGTTTGTCAGCAAAGCATCTTATGAACTAGCAGAGGGATTTTAATGAAACTGTCAGAAAGTAAACATTCAGTGAAGATGTATGTYTGAACTTTTGCACAGCTAAGTGACCTCATGACAAAATGGGGTTTTGTCAACTTTGACAGATACTGAGCTAAGATTTTGGCGCGCTAGTAACTGACACTGAGCGCAAACTAAAGCAAGTTTGCTCTTAAAATTCTGCTATAACTTTTAGAGTCCACTGTATCTCTGTTRGCAAAATATCTCTAAAACCACTGGATGGTTTTATTAAACTCTTAGAAGGCAGTCACTAAATATACATCTCCAACCGATTCACTATAGAATTAATCCAGTTCAAGATGGTCGCTATCAACTGATAGGAAACCCAAAAATGGGTGTATTTCAGCAGTTTTACATAGTCACCTAAAACTTAATGTAGTAGTAACTGAGACTTATTTTCAACACTTTGTTTGAGAACTAACGTCTTGGAAATTTTCACGAGATCAACATAACGTGCAAAATTATTATAACAAAAAGCAAGCACATCAATACGCATGTAAATTACAGATTTGAATTATATTGTTATATTTATTATTGTACATTGTACATTTTTTTAGAAGAAATCCTGAAACTAAAAAAGTAAGAGCTTTCCTTCCAATCCAGCCATCTTAAAAGCATTGGGAGTGACGGTTGGCTGAAGGCTCTTCAGTCCAAATGGTTCCACATTKAAAACCTTAAACCAGACCTGCTCCACTGCTCAGCAGTATGTCCTCCCTCCACTGTCTGCCTTTTTCTGCATGTATAGTTCTCGCCGTGTAATAATTGCAGCAACATTAGTAATGAATGTTTCCCAGAGGCGTGCAAACATCCGCTCGCAGCCAGGAACAGACTTCCAGTCCCTTTGGTTGTTTAAATCAGCTAAATATTTCACTGCTTTGCACCATCTCCCCTCCTTAGAGAGTAAAAGCTCAGTGCTAATTAGCAGAATTGCTTTAATAGGGTCACAATGTCATGTAGTTACAGTTTTAATAAAACTCTGACAGCTTTTTGTGCATCATTGTTCTTACAAGGAAAGCCAGCCATCTAGTGGATACTGTGGRCCATGCAGGAACTCACTCCTTATTGTCACAAAGATGTATTTTTTTAATTTTTTTATTTAAACTTTTCAATATAGAATTTTTATTATACTTAGATGCCTTTATTGCCTTGGGCTTTTAGTGTATGATTCTTGACATTATGTTTCTCAGCACTCATACCAGTGTTGGATTATAGGAAATGAATGCACAGTTGTGATTAAATACCTGGTGTTGAAAAAAAATATATCCTTATTTATTTTTACTTAAATGAGTCAACCCTGTTTTGCCTGCATGAACTTGCAGATTGATTTTAATGAAACTTTCATTAAGTCATTACTGAATATACATTTAATTGATTTAGCCAACACAGAAATGACAATAATGTAGCCAGTCTTTCAGATATTGAGCTAAAATTTGATTGTTGTAGCTGGAATTCATTCWCAACACACGACCTCTCACAGTCTTGTATCCTAAAACACATTAACTTACTTCGTTTTTTTCCTAATATTTAATTTATTCATTTATTTATTCATTTGTTTCCATGAAAGTGTACTTGTCATTGGCACAGCTTGGCTGGCATGTTTAAAAATGACCATGAAAATAAGTGTATCCCCCCCTTCCCTCCTACAAATCATCACTCCACCAATAAAGCTTCCGTCGATGTAACGTGTGCAAACAGCGCATGCGCTCTGGCTCCTGATTGGTCGAGACGTTCACGACAGCTGATTGCTTACAGGAACTTCCGGAACAACTCAACAGTGAAAGCCGCTCAGAGTCCACCAGGGGAGGGCGCTGTTTGTCCACAGGGTAACAAAGATATTTGTTCGCTTTGTTTATGAAGAGAAGRAACATATTTTATATCGTTTCTGCGCCGAATCGTTAACCTGTTGACGGCTTTGATGTCCACTATGATRAGTTTACTTTTAACCTTTAACTACTTCTGTAAACCAGTGTTTACAGAAGTAAACACTGCTGAGTTGTACTCTGTTACAGTGTAATTATGCCTTTTTTATTGCTCATTTGTCTAATTTAATGTTTCTAAAACAATAGGTCATTTCTTGTAACCATGGTAATGTCTTATTTTCACCATCTAGAATGAGAAGYAGTTTTAACTTCTTTTATTTTAAACACAACAAAGAACAATATTTACAAACTTAAACAAAATCAAAACGCAACAAAAATAATGCAGCAAACAATCAAAAATTTATGATAAATTCATAATGATAAATTTAGACACTGTGTAATTTGATTTTTTTGTGTCTTTTGATTTTTTTTTCTTACCGTGTTTCTTGTTTTAAAGATGAATTTCAGCACAAGCAGCCTTCATAGCAGTCCATCGTGCAAAGAAAATGTGGCGCCTTCAGCTAAAACRGATTCATTTCAGCATCCGAGGACCAAACAGAGAACAGTTCTCGGTGTTTTGTCAGAGAACGATCAGCGCGGTCGATCTTTGAGCCAGGCAAGTCACTCAGGCAAAGTGAAAAGTTTAATTATATTTCATATATTTTAGTTTAAAAAGCACTGGTGGATGTTTCCTCCTCAGGGAAGCCAGTTTTCCAGGCAGAGTTCGGTTTCAAGCAGCTCCCAGCTGAACCTCTTTGGTTGTGCGTCCAGTTCCAGCTACGATGTGTTCGTCGAAGAGGCCCGTGAAGTCGTTCTCGCAGCTTCAGGTCAAGAAGTTGCTTCAGACAGTTGTGAGCTGGGTGCTGAAGCTGACCACTTGCAGAATGATTACATGAATCTCCTGCTGGAACTCACCTCCAGTGAGTGTAAATCTGCACCAAAATAATATTTCCATTAAAGAAGCTTTAACCTGTTTGCTCCTGCAGGTTCATGCCAGGATGTCTCTGTGCAGTCATCAGACGAGCGCTTGATGTCTCAGCAGAAGCTCTTTACTGATTATGCTGAAGATATTTACCAGAACTTGAGGAAAAGTGAGGTGAGTCTTTTTTTTTCTTTTTAATCGAACAATTTCTGTTGTATTAAATTTGTTACTCACTCATGCTCGTTGCTGCTGTGATTTTAATTCCAGAAGAGGTTCAGGGCAAAGCCTGATTACCTGCAGAGACACCCAGCGATCAGCAGCAGCATGCGAGTCATTCTGGTGGACTGGATGGTCCAAGTTGTTGAGGGATATGAACTCAGTTCTGAAACTTTGCACCTCGCTGTCAACTACTTGGACCGTTTTTTGTCCTGCGCAACTTTTGTCAAAGAGGCCAAGCTGCAGCTCGTCGGCACAGCAGCGTTACTGATTGCTGCGTAAGGATACGAGTATTTTCCAAATGTTCATTGGGTCATGTGAAGGTATTTTAGAGTTGCACTGATTCATGGCTSCTTGTAACTAATACTGCATTTTCTGTAAGAATATCGCATGTCTTTGCTGTAAATTGTCGCTGTTAAATAAGCAGAACTGGAGTTAAAATCAGCATAACAGCAGCTCAAAGCTGAAATGAGCAAAACCCATAATAAAAAATTAAATGAGAAAAACCATAGCTAAAAAATAAAATAAAATAAAATAAATAGCAAAATCTGAACATTGAGAAAACAACAATAAAGGTTTAAAATAGCAAAATAGCATGAAAAAAGTCAAAGTGGAGCTAAAAGCTAAATTAGCAAGACCATGGCTCAAAGCTAATTTTAGACAAAGCATAGATAATCCCAAAAAAATGCTAATTAAATAAAAGATTAAATTAGCAGAACTGTAG